AATTTAAAATAAAAAAATAAAAATAAAAAACTATTAACGCGTCCGTTATTTATACTGTTCAATCGGCGAACAAGCACTGATTCTAATTTCACGTATGATTATTGTAATTAAATTTACTTAGAGCTATTGTGCTCTAAAAAAATAAAAAAATACTGTTACGAATCAAACACTGACTCTACCAACCGCATTGCACGCGGTTATAATAGTCTGGAAATGAAATTGTGGGAAGAGGGGAATTTAGAAAAGAAAATAAAATACATATGTATATATTTTCTTTCTTTTTCTTATTAAACATTTGTTTAAAAAATAAAACTGTTATTTTTAAAAGAATATCGTCAATTATTAATATTAATATTTAAATTATTAATATTAATATTTATATTTAATATTATATTATATTAATATATATTTTTTCACTATTATTCAATAATTCAATAATGAATAGTAACTATGAATTACATAAAAATAGTATAAAAAATTATATACATACTATGGAATTAATAATTTAATAAAAAAAAAATATAAAAGTACTTACATATATCTTCCAAAATTTAAATTTTACCTCTTCTTTCTTTATATAAAATATAAATTGTCATCATGGCGTCCATATTGAAAATCCTTCTTCCCGCCTAAAGTAATTTCAGCAATCAGCTATTTATCTGCACAAAAAAATCAAATCTTTAAAATAAATGTATAAAATGTATAAGATTAAACTTATATCAAAATAAAATATATTAAAATAGAAAATTAACAGTTCAAATTCTATTTTAGAAGCTCATAATATGAGTTAGTATTAATTTTAATGGTAAAATAGACGAATAAAAAAAGGAATAGATTATTTCTCAAATAGTTATCATTAATATATTATCATTAATAAATAATTAAAGAAACGCATATTAGTGAAATTATAATAGTATAAAAAGTAAAAAAAATAACTATTAAATAAATATTACAAAATAAATAGATCACGTACCTAAAACGAAGCGTCTAATTGTCACGACTTTCGAGAACAAAATGACACCCCGCGCAGCGAGTTCGATATGTCGAATTAGGAAGGAAAGGAGAAAGAGGTGGGGGGAACGCTCGACAAGTCGAAACATGTCGAGCGTGATACGAACGCAAGAACGCAAAAACGCAAAATCGCAATTTCTTAGAAAGACTGTTATAAGAAATATTTTTAACCTCGAGGTTTTGAGCATAAATAATCAAAAAAAGTATAGAATAACAACACACGAGTTGAATGTACAAATGACGTATTTAAGAAAGAAAAAAACATGAGAAGTATGTGAAATATTTACGAGTAAATTGATATAATAATCTAGCTATTCCTATTTCATAAAAAGACAAAATAAATTTATAATAACTATCTTTATTAAATTAAATAAAATCTTACCATATTTGTATGAAAGTCGTTCAATTATTTCTTTAACATGTTTGTATGTGTAAAAACTTTTATACTTTCGAAGCCATTCCATCTTCGAACTTCAAACATATGATAATTTATCACAACGATATTTAATTCTGTAATAATAGTAATTAAACAAACACATATTAATTAAACAAGTTTTTATAATCTGTAATTAAGCTTAATATAATATTCTATCGATAAAAATTACACGTAATTACACACTTCTGCCGGCGAAACACGTCCTGTCACCACAATTTTCAACTGTAGACTAATACCATGCGCACTGTGATGCGCACAAACTCATCTCGCCGTAGCGCGCCGTTAGATCTTAGCAGCTTTCTGATTGGTTGAAATAAAATACTTCTTTATTCAGCCGCGCGAAAATTAAAGTATAATATATTATATTTTAATTGTAGATTTCTATACATCGAAATTTTACAAAGATATTTCAATTAAAAATATAATAATATATAAAATAAATAATAGATTATCATAATTAATTTAATATTATTTAAAAATTATCCAAACTAGAAAAACTAAAATATAAAATTAAATATTTAAAATAAAAATTAATCAAATTTTACAGAAATATAATGTCTGTAAAAATAAAAATTTGTTTATATACTTAGAATGCAATAACATAAAAAAAATTAAATTACTGTAATAATTAATTGTTTTATAATCATTTTATAAGTACATTGTATAAGTACAAATGTAAATGTATTTCTGTATATGTATAATTTGCTTCTCAAATTGTTTTGATCTATTATGTCTTATTTTTATAATAAAATCAGATTTTAATCCAGTCTATTAACGTTATAATCCTTTTCTATATCAATAATATCTTATGTGATACAAAAATAATAAGAAAATGTCTAAGATTAAATTCTATTATCTTTTTTATTCTTTAACTAAAAATTTCTTTAATTAAAATAGAGTTTATCAATTTAATCTTTTGTTGTTTGTATAAAAACATTTATAATTCTATATTAACAATACATAATACATAATAAATTTACTTAGCTTTAATAACATTATAATATATTTTAAATCCATTTATAAAAATCCATTATAAAAATCTCACAAATTAATATTATTTTCATTATGTTATAATAAAAAATACATGCATACTTTTTATATATTATAATTTATATATTAACAAAAATACAATGTATATTATTGTAATGTAATATAAAATAATCTTTATAATTGAATATAACTCCTACATTGATCAGTTTATCACAGAAGGCATATCAACAGCTCTGATTTTTTACACGATCAGTATTTCAGAGCAAAGTTTTATTAAATGCTAGATCTGTTTTATACTTCATCTATGATGAAACTCAATTTTATCTGAAAAATAAATAAAAATTTAATCATCATCTAAATAAATCTAAATTTAATATTTTATAATTTAATATTAAAATTAATTTATCAATATTTTAAAATTATAATTATTTATTTTATAAAAAATCATTTCAAATGTGCATAGATTCATAGCAATAGTTCTCAAGTTAATTACATTATATGTGCACTTATACTATTACCTAAGATATTGTTAAGTTAATAGTGTTATTGATAAACACTGTTATTGTTATTTTGAATTTCTGTTTGATATATTTTTATTGATATAGTATTAAAATTTACATGTAAATTTTAATTGGTGATATGAATTTATGAAAAGTTATCAACAATTTATTCACAGTAATTGGGTCACTATATATATATATGAAAGAAAAGATACAATAATCTGTCAACAGATACTTATAAATATTTTATACACATTTTTAAAGAATCTCCAGATATCTATTTGTATACAAGATTTGTGAATTGATAGAAGTAATATGTACAATGAAATCATAAAATATTATTCCTAATTATTATTATTATAATTAATTATTATTAATTTAATTTGTATATTACTGTCAAATAGATATATTATTTTGATACATAAATTAATATAATGACAAGATAATTAATTAATTTTATTAAGTAATTTCTTTCTTGGAAATAAAAAAATATATTTAAATACACATAAATATAAATAAATTGATGAAAGTCTATATTATCCACGAAACCAATGATTAATCACTTAATGATTAATCAGGACATAGTAATTGTGAAAATACATGTATAATACACACACACACACACACATATATATATATATATATAAAAGAAAAAAAAAATAATTGTAAATTAACATATACAGTTTTAAAACTTTTTATTTTTATTTGATATATTATTCCAAATAATTGTTTCAGTTCTTCAAACATATAAACTTGAATATTTTATCGATTTCATAACATTATAATACCGTTTCTACCAACTGTAGACATTTTTCATAGTCTGGACAGTTTTTGTCTTTCATTAAAGAGTAAAACAAAAGACAATGTCTGCAGACAATATTTACATTATAATTGTATAATCAACATGTCAAATAAAAAAGTTTATATATATAATATAGAAATATATGTATTTTGTTTTTTAGAATTAGAAATGTTTAATAAAGAATACAAAACTGAAAAAATATCTTAAAAATATTTTATTCTTGTATTCTTTATTTCACAATATCAATAATAATTTTATTATCTGATTAATTTAAAAAAAAAATTTATGTTTTATTTAAAAATAATATTTTTAACACATTTTGAGATTATATGTATAATTGACACTTGATTAAACGTGTTTTAAATAATTAATTAATAAAAAAAATATTAATGTTTTATGGAAAAAGATACAAATATTCTTGCATCACTTGAATAAACGCATAGTAAATGAAACATAATAAATAATATTTCTAATAAATATGTTTCATTTATTTTTATCATTTTTAACTTGAAAAATAAAAATTTGTTACCATATGCTAAAAATATTATTTATTTATTGATATATATTTGAATAAAATTGTAATATTTTTTCCCACTAGATTATAGCATTTATCAGATTTTGATAAAAAAATTAACGATTATTTATGTAAATTTGTCTCGATAGATATCTTTAAACATTTTCAACGATGTTCATATTCGGTAATTATGTGAGATATACAATTTATTTTCTGCTCTTTATCAGTCCTCAATTAATTTGGCTATATATATGATCATATTATCGTATTGAAATATTCTAATTACTATATTTCATTATGTTAAAAATATTATTTTTGCTATGATATTTCAAAATATTATTTCATATCTTGCATCTATATGTTCTAGGAGACAAAATTTTTTCCACCAGGAAAAAAACGAATAACCATCATCTAAATTAAATTTCTTTTCGCCATTAAAATAGGTATTAAAATACTCAATTTATATAATTTCTTGCAAATCCAAGCTTTTTCTTATAGCCTTCTTTCAAATAGAGTTTCTCTTCAACGTTTTTATAGTTTGTATAATAGTAAACTTTTTTTTTTCGTTATATAATTAGAAACATTGAGTTAAAACATCTCCAGCAATTTATTTAAAATTATCAGAAAACAAACTTTTTATCTCTGAGCAATAAAGCTTCTTTAATTGTACGTTTACATTTTATCATAATTTTCTTTTAAATAAACAATAAATGACAAACTCACCTTTTTTTTTGGACTTTTTATTTAAATATCTCTCTTATTTTAGTATTTATCAAACAGGATTGCTTCATTTTTTTTCTTTATATCTATAAACAAGATAAATATATTATAAAATATAAGTTTTAAAAAAAGAAAAGAAAAGATTTATTGTTTTTTATTATTTTCTGAAGCTGCAAATATATATCATATAAATATATATCAAAAAAGATTCCGAAATTCTATATTTTTAACAAAATTCTTAAGTTCATAATGGAAAAATATTCAGAATAAGTTTCAGACTTGGAGAACTGCATAAAAATTTATTATTGCATGATTCTGATAAAAATATAATAATCACTTATCGATTACGATTATCTTATAATCTCAAGCTATCTAGTAATACTTTATCACAGACAAAAGCTTTTCTTTACTTGATATAATATCATTAATATTTAGTTAAATATATTTAATTAATATATTATATTATATAATATATTATACATTTTAGATTTCTCGAAAGCATGATTAATTAAATACATATGTGTGTATTTAATTAAAAAATTTTTATGTAAAATCAATGAAGTCACAATATCAAGTCAATTCACTTCATAAAAATTTAAAATAGTTGAAAATCTAGAATTTCAAAGGAATATACTTAATATACTTAATATACTTAGAATTTATATTTCACAATTTAATGAATTCAATTGTTAAAGCAAATATAACAATTTTTACATCACAAAAAGTGAATCCCAAAGCGAGGAAGAATTGTAGTGCTCTTTTCTCAACATGATAAGAAAACAATAAGGCGAATTCAGTCTTACCACGTATTAAATAAGGAATTTTGCAATTTTGTTAAATTTATGTTTCACTTTCATATATCATGTTGACACAATTATGTAACTAACTACCCTATTGTACTCGATAGAAAATTTCAATAAAGTCGACGTTTTCACATCTCGCAAGAATAGAAAAATTTATATGATTCCATTGATAAATACTCTTATTGTTTTATTAAAATGAAATCATATTATATACGATTTTTCTTTCGCACGGTAAATCTATTTCTTCTATTATCATTATAATCTTTTTTCCAATCATCGTCATGAAGATTTAATTTCGATTGGTTACAAAAAACATTATAAAGAACAAGACTATACTATATTTCAATCATCCAACTTCATTCTCTTTTTAAATAATACTATTTTTCAACAAAAATTCTTTAATTTTGATCGCATCAAAATTATCTCATATTTCAATCTCACATTTTAGATTATACATTCATGAATAATTAGCAGATTTATAAAATTCTATTTTTTTTTAAAGATAATTTAAGAAAGGAGGAAAAAAAAATAACAATATATATATATATATATGCATATCTAAGAAATTAAACTGAAAAATGTTGCTAAAGAGATAATGGCATAGACTATTTGTAAGATAAAATTTATGTATAAATATCTACTATGTTTCGAACGTAGCGTGCCAGTTAGTACATTATACGTGCTAAAGTGAATTGTGATATTACTACGAATTTGAATCACAATTGATTCTTACCGTTTGTATCATTATATTATTTTAATTATTGTTCATTTAATATTAATTTATGATATTTTGTATCCACTAACATGATGAAATAATCTTTTTTGATATTATATGTTTGATATTAAGAGTTATTAATATTATGTTATTTGAAAAACATAAATATTCATGACAATTTTTCTTGGTAAATTTTTAGACAAGAAATAAATGAATATTAACATAAATTAACAATTAACAAACGACAGCATATCTTAAATTTAAAAAAAAATATATATATATATTTGAAAGTGGAACATCACAGCACATAATAGATCAGAAATTTATTAATTGTTTGATTAAGCTCAAATATTAACAAACTATAAGTTTATGAAACAATAATGAAATCTATTTAGATTTATATAGTTTAAGGAATATTAAAAAGGAAGCATCGAATAGTAGACACAGATAACAACAATTCAAACATTCATTTATGGTTGTGTAATGCTAATAACTCTGAAATAAATGAATTTAAAAAGAACAATTTTACAATTGAAATATTTAAATCAGAGAGCAAATCAGTCTACATACAAGATATCATGTAAAATATACAAGTTAATACTTTCACGTATGCCAAGATAATATTATATCTATTTGTATAATTTTAAATTTCTAAAAAGGAATGAACGAAAGCAATATCAAAAAATATTGCTATATAACTACATGAATATTTCTCGAGTTTCGATTCAAGTTTCTGGAATAAACTAAAACATTTTCAAATTAAACAGAATGTTAGATGTTAAGATTCATGTGTTTCATACAAATCATAATCAAATCTAACAAACTCGTAAGAATAACCGGAAGGAATCGTGAGGCATGCAATCCTCTCCAAAGTTAAGCATTGGAATAGAACGTGGTTTGATGATAAAAATCCTCGTAAACCAAGAACTTTTGACAGCGTGGGGTACTTGTCGATCCACGATCGTACTCCTTGTACTTTCTCCCACCATTTATAAAGTTCGACTCGTATCTCGCACCCGTTCAGTCGTTCTGCCAATACGTGTTTGGTATACCAGAGATCGTGTATGAAGTGAAGTTTCGTTTACTCTTTTTCAAATAGGTTTTGTGCGCCGACCCAAGTTATCGAGGAGTCAACAATTTTCGGTGGGTTTCATTCTATGCAAATTAGGTTGAACGAATAGATTTTATATTGAATTGCAACAATCAACGAATCAAAAAAAATGTTTTTCTGCTTTTGATATATCAACTGCTCTTTTTTTTTTTTTTTTTTTTTTTATTAATTGATATTACTGTCGATACGATGGAAAAATGGAAGGATAGACATGATGAGCGTTATAAATTGGTGCATGTATATATATACTTCTTTTATTAAGAATCTCATTTTCCTATTGTGTTTAGTTTGTCTTTAAATTATTGAAATAAATAAGTTTTAATGAATATAAAAAACATAAAAATTGTCACAAATCATTATCATTAAATGCCATAAATAAATTCTAAAAATATCTTCAAATGCCTATTTAATATTATACGACGTTTCTATATACTTTCTTTTTCTATTATACAATAAATTTATACGACAAAGGTGACAATTCTTTGAGAGAAACATCGAATGACAGGCAAATTTATAACTATTCACTTTCTAATGTAAAATCAATTGCATTTAATTCGCAAATAATTTTACAAATTTGATTATAAAATTGTCCAAATAACAGATATATTTATTTTTTTCAAATCAATCATTTGACAAAAGAGTATTTGATAAAAAGAATATTTAATATATAATTCAGAGAATTATGATTTAAAAAATATCAAAATTCTTTAATTTACTTTCGATGAACGAAAATATTAAAATAAATTAAAATTCTTCTAAAATATTATTGGTGTTATTCAATGGAAAATATATTAAGCATTTTTTTCTTCATTTTTTTTTCCAATTTATAATAAAATTTTAATCTTAGCAGAGAAAACAACTTTTTATAAATAAAATCATTTTTTTTTATAATTATATCATTAATTGCAAGATATTCTAAGTATTACATACTTGTGTCCCATGAAACAACGCAATGTGATTAAGCAAAGAAAATACCTTGAACTTGCCATTTAAGTAACTACCGTGTGAAGATTCTGACAATTAAAGGTTAAATAATGCTTAAACTTACATGAGTACATTCCACTCAATGCTTTAATTGTGTTTAGTTGTTAAATTTGTTCCAATGTTTCCTTCCTTCTTCTTGGAAATATTCGTTTTTCTCAAAAAAAAAAAAAAAAAAATTAATTTCTGAAAAGTAATATAAATGAATCATAAAATGTAAAATAATAAAAAGAAGAGATATAAGATTCGAGAAAATACCATTTTTCAATCAACTTTTATATCAAATAAGAATTAAATTGATATATTAATATGATATATAATATATAAAAATAAATACACTGCTATTGACTGATAATAATTAAATAATTAAATCAATTAATTCGAAATACAAGATCGAATGTTTTTTTTTTAAATTTCATATTAGAACATGTATATTTTTATTCGTTTAAATATAACGTTTCGTTTCTTCGATTATTAATTGGAAATTGATATAATTTAATAAATCATTCCAATTTCCTACAATTACACGCGATTTATCGCATGTCTACTTTCAAAACTTCGCCTGATTTTACGATAATGTAATCATAGAGGAACGTGCATATAAAAAATGAACGCATTTCTTAGAATGTAATTGATCAATTGAGTATTCATATCATTATTTCGCATATCTAAATCTAAAGATTTTTTTTTTATATGAATTATAAAATGCATACAGCGTGATAATAAGATGTAGAATAATAAATGAAGATTATCGAACATTTAAAGATTTAAAGATTTAAATAATTAACATTTAAGATTTAAATAATTAAACATATTTTAAAAAAAAATGAAAATACTTTATATTATTACATTTTTCAAAAATTATATTTAATTTTAAATATTATTTAAATAATATCAATATTAATTGATATTGTGTATAATAAATTTTCAAATAATCGAATAAATCAAATAAATCGCATTCTGAAATGAAAACAAATATTTATTATGCTAAATTACCAATACAAAATCTAATTCCATTGAAAAACTTCATTTAAATAACATTTACATTAAATTTACATAATGTTTATATGATATTTAAATCATATATTTAGTTCAAGTTTAATTTATTCATTGCTATTAATTTTATCATAATTCGAATAAAACGACAGATGCCAATAACCAATATTCAATTCCTATTATTATCCTTTTTCCTTAGATAAAGAGCGCTACACCTTTTCGATTATTATTATCATAGTTTTCCATTATAAATATCGTTATTTAACTATATTAACTATATCCTATTAACAAAATTATTTCTTATATTTTATTTTCCACGGATAACAGGCGAAAACTTTAAAACTGCATAATTTGTCTAATTTTCAATTGCTAATTAGGCCTTTAATCTTTCCTTATTATCTATCTGTATATTATATCTTCACTGTAATTTACACTTTGCGATTGAGTTATTTAAAATAAGCGGAAAATGATTTGTTCGACCAATTTCAACCAGGGTATAAAATGCACTCCTATGTTTGTATAATTAATCGCATAAATAAGATAATTAACGAAAGATTGATCACACGCCATTCTCTGCGATTGAAGTAGCGAAACACAACGCCCGCACTTTCTCCCTTTCAATTGGAGAATTAATATTTCTTCGGCTCTTTGTGGAACGACCATCATCAGGGAAATCCTGATCGTGTATTCGCTCATGCGTATCCTTCGATTCGATTATTCGAACAATGTTAAGACAAAATATATAACATTTGTGAAAATATTTATGTAACGATACACGTTTGATTCTTATAATTTTTTTTCTTTTATTATTATTATTATTATTATTATTAATAGTTTATTATTATTATATTTATTATTATTATATATAATTATTATTATTAGTTTCAATCGTAAATTCTAACGAGATTGAAACGAGGGAAAGATGAAAAGCATAATGTCAATCATAATAAATGATTCACGCTTATTCCAGGATTTCATTCGCGAATATCTGTCTGATGATTATTTAATGACTAATGAATTAATATACACGTGCTTCCTCGATTCTAGGATTCGGTGGATAATGTGTGAAAGTAGTTAGCCTTCGAATAATGGTGTTTTGACGATTCATGTTTATTCTAAGATTTCATTTGCTAATTTTTTTTTTTTTTTTTTTTTATAATTATCGAATGGCCATGAGTGCATTCGATGTTTTCATTTTAATACACCGCCATTCAAAGTGAATGTCACATTCTTAAATTGAAATAAAACGCAAATTATAAATACAATGGCATTAGATTTTTTTATCGAAACGAGCTCCATTCATTTTTCATTACATTTTCTATTGTTGAATCGTTGACATAACTGGCGCTAAAATGATGCCAAGAATTATTAATGAAGAAGAAAAGGGGGGAAAAAATTTGACGTTATGATTTGAATTTGGTTATTTTTTTTTCTTGCACAATTTTTTGAAAACTAAACATTTTGGCCAATAATCTGAAAAACGAATCGAAATAAAATTATGTAAAATTGTATCGGAATACATATAATAAAAGGAGCCATTGTGAAAAGAAAATGGATCAAATCGATCCATAATAGATATTAAAATGGACTTTTACCAAATAAAGAAATATAATTTGTTTTTTATTTCATTATAAAGATAACACCCTATTTGAATAATTCCATATAATTACTATATATTTTCTTCGTAATATATCATGACAGATAATCACTTGTAAAAATTGTTAAATTTAAAAAATGCATTAAATTGTCGTTTGAAATTATATTTATCATTTAAAATTATCGATACGGTTAAATACTTTTACGTAACCAAATGATTAAATGAATTTTGCATAATGGATAACGCTTACACTTGTATTATACTTGCAATATAATATTTTGAATATTATGCTTTTCTTTTCTTTTTTTTTTTTTTTTTTTTTTTTTATGTAATGTATTAGAGTCATGTCATGCTAAATTAAACGCATATTTTTTATTTAAGGAACATTAAACATTTGTATGCATCAAGATTGGAAAAGATAAAATATGAATGTTCGGTCAAATCGTTGAAAAAAATAGGATGAGAAAAATTAATTATTTTATAAAAACAAGTTACAAGAAAAGATATATTATATATCAAACATTCAAAAAGGTATAAATTAAGGAAATATATAAATCAACTAGTAAAGATATATAGTACAATTGTAACTTTCTAAATAATTAATAATACATAGATTAGTAAAATAAAATTTAGTTAATACATAAGATACATAATACATAAGAAAAATAATAATGGATAATAATATACAATAACAATTTTTTTTTACTACAATATTTTTAAAAATTTAAAAATTGAAATCAATATTTTTTCCTTTTCTTTTAAAATGTGATTTCTTAATGTTCAAACAAATCTTTATTATATTAAAAAAAAAATACTGAAATCTCGAGGATTGGTATCATTTTATTTGGTTCTCATTTCTTCAAAGAAATGTAAATCGAAAAAAGTATGTATACAAATTTTCGCATTAAAATTAACAATTTTCTATTTTTACAAAATAATGTAAAATTCTTGAAAAAATGTTGTCATTGACTGTACATATGAAACATCGAATTGTTTAATTACAACTTGGATCGATTTAACAACTGGAATCTGGTGTAACGGAAGAAATGTAATTGGTATCAACAATCGTTAATGAATAATCTATTCTTTTGCAATTAACCGAGATTGGAAAACCCGGTAAAATTATAAAAAAAAGAGAAAAACTGGATTCGTATACTACCAGTCACGGATACTTGTTCGTTTTCCATTGAATGCCATTCTGATTTGTGACCGCAGAAAATTCACCGAACGATTTCTCAATCTCTGGCAAACAGACATCGTTTTACCAGCTGGGTTTTGAAACCCAGTCCCGTTCGTATTATCGGTAAAACTTTGATCGATTCGGGCAGAAAACGGATAGATTGTCGGATATTTCAGGATATTCTAATGCAAATATAATATATCTCTCTTCACTTTGATTCGTTGCCTCGATGCAGATTATTATCGAGTTTTGTCGCGTGACCGTTTCACCAGTGTGAATTGAATTATACGGGAAAATATAAAGCAGCCAGCATGTTCACGACAATTTCTCGCATAATTATGACGCGTAAAAATTTACGAGTCATAATTCCCGCGTTTCAGCAACACGAATGGACGTACGATGTTGGAGAAAATATTCCATTTGTTAAATTTTACTCGATCTTATCAGGTATATCAGATAAATTTTATACGAATCACGATTATACGTGTTGTTTAACAAGATTTATAAAGATATTAAAATAATTGGAATATTTGTAACGTTTGGGAACAAGAGGGATTGTTATGAAATGTAAATTGAAATGTAAATAATTGACATTTTTGGAAAAGTTATCTTGAATTTCTGTTTAGATAAATATTGCAAATGATAAATCGTTTTTATATATAATAATTATTGGGGATTAAAAATTTTTTATAAATCTGGAACAATGAAATTCGTAAACTCATGTGAAATAATTTTTGTAATTTTAAAAAAAGATGATTGGAAAAATCTTTCGCAAGAATCGTTATCGTTCATTGATTCTCTTCTTGGATGGATTCGTTTCTTTTTACCACAAATTTCTATCACGATAGAAAGTTTTCGTATTATTCATCGTTTTCAAAAAAAACTAAAAGAATGTAAATCATTGTACAATAATCGGAATATAAATAAAATATGTTATCAAAATTTTCTCATAATTCATATCTCTCGTTGCTATTTAAATTTCTTTGTTTTTGTTTTAATTTGAAAAAAAGTAAACAACGATTTGCAAATTTTTTTACAATATCTACGTTTATCTATATTCCATCATAAATTAAAAAAACAAAAAAGCTATCTCATGTTCTTATTCATTGCTCAAACGAATTATATTAAAATTTTATATGACGACATTTCTCTATATTAGCGATCGTTGAAAATGATGTTATCGATGAACATCTCTAATTAAGACGTAATTAGAGGCAAATAATATAATAATTAATAATTTACTTTAATCCTCCTAATTAAAAATTAGAAATGAAAATCTAAGAATTACTCATTCATGTATACCATTTCTTCGGTTACGTGAAAAATATGAATCGTATTTCACGATTTCTTACGAAAAACTAGTCCCGCAACATTGCGAATAAATTGGTTATATCTGGAAATCCAGTATTTCCT